TTATAATGTTTCTTACTGTTCCCTTCCTCCTCAAAATTACAACCTTGCCACTTTACTAAAAACTTAAAGCAAATCCATGCAATTTTTACTTTTAAATTATTTTAATTTAAAAGACTTCTGAAATTATGCACTTTCCATTAAAGTTCCAGGTCTTGGATTTGTTACAATTTATATCTCAGCAAAACAAAGTCCAAATTTATGCTTCATAAATCTCTCCTACTCTTCTTCCTGACCCACCCAGATGCTGGCACTGCCCTAGAGGGTTTGAACCTCAATGCCATTCCACACCTATCTTCAGCCCCCATCCTCTTTGAAACCTCATTGCACAGCACAGTTCCTGTCAGCAAGGTCCTGCTTATCTCTACCTTCCCACTGTCCTTTCTCTATCCCCTGCACCTTATTCCCACCTCTTGTCTTGCCCCTTCATGGCACTCAAATTCCTGAGCAAGTCCCACCATACCACCAGTAATTCCTGACATAAACCAAGTACAGCCATGCACCACTGTTTTGTGTTCATTGTTTGGGGTTTTATTTTGTGCAGTCTAGCAACTTGTGTCCACCCACAAGCTTCTTGGGCTGAAAGCCCTGATGGTACAGGGCCCAGCACAACAGTCCTCGCTCACAATCAGCCCCTTCCTGCATTAGCCAGGGTAATAAAAACAGCATGTGTGCAGTTATGAGTGAATCAGTCTCTCCTTGAAGCATTTCAAAAACTCGGAGGAGTCTGACAGAAGGAGAAAGAAAGGCAATGAGAACGGACAGAAAAGGCAGGAAATAACAAAAAGAAAATGGACAAGATGGTTTTCTCTGAAGCGAGCATTCTGAGGTGCAACACCCTTCCCTTTCCCTGATGTCCTTCCCTGACAAGGTCAGGCTAAGAGCAGCATTTCTCTCCTTCCTTCCTATGTTACGCTCTTTCTTTTTTTCCCTTCCTAGATTACTTCTAACATTTACTTCCACCCCAGTCTGACACTTCGATGCAAGAAGCAGTACCACCTTTATGGCACTCCCTTACTGACTGGGCTAACACAGATCTGTGCTTTTACTATGTCTGCTGAGCACCAAGAGGTATTAAAATTGTTTTCACTTCTTTTCTTCATCTTCCCACCTGCCAACAGCAGTAACAGCCTCAAAAATTATACTTCCTTCTTCACTGCAGGACGGAAATAGTTCATAGAGCCTAATGTAACAAACTGTAACACATCATAGCAATGAAGGGGCTCGCCTTAAAAATACTAACCATCAAATTCACTGACATATCTAAAACTACATTTCATCTGAGGAGCTGAAAAATTATAAAAACAGTGTTTTCCCTTCACTTTTATCAACAAATGCATAATCCCTCTCTACTCTCTCAGCTCTGGGGCTCTTTTTAGGGAAAAATAAAAATCACAAAAAAGCCCAATCAACAATCTCAAGCTGGGGAAAACAACTTTGGATGGTTTGGACAGCTTTGGATGCAACTCAGTGAAAATTCAGATACAGTTTGGTAGTGGCTTGAATGATAAATAAAAACAAAGACTCGGCTGGGACAGGAAGATCTCAAAAATATTCAGAGTCTGCTGTCAACAAAGCAAGTGTGCTTTGGGTCACCTCTTCCCACATGGCTGTCACGCAAGGTACACATACTCCTTGCATGATCTTTGTATGACAGGTATCACACAGTGAACTACATCTAATTCTAGAAAACTCTAGAAAACACATTTTTACTCTCCTTCCAGTCAGACTTTGTAGTCAGCTAGCTTATCCCCTGGCAGTTGATAAACTGGGTTTGCAAATACTACGTTGCCTCCATACCCCTCTCTGTGCCTGAGAAATCATGATGGTGCTCCCCAAAGGCTGCAGAGACAAATTACCGACATGTTAGGAAAAAAGAAGTGCCTACCCTGGGGGCTCTAAACCCCATTTCATATGCAAGGTGCAATTCTTGCTCTTCTCCCAGTAAGCCCTATCAGGACCTCACAGCCCCTGTCATCCTCAGCCCCAACACCTGTTGGCCCTAAGTACCACACAGGTCCACTGCCAGCTTCCCTGTTGCAAGACATGGTGTGTCAACAGGACTACTCAGATTATTAAGAATTAAAGGCACAAAGAAGTACTTTCAGCTGTGTCAAGGCCACAGCATTCAATACTTGGCAGTCTCAAGGCCTTTTTCTGACACAGGATAACATAGTAATGCGTCAAAGGGGGAGAAAACAGTAAAGATAGGAAAGTGAAAAAAAACCAACGGATACTATATAACCTTATGAATAGAACAAGATTTTCCTGACCACAGCCTGAGCAAAAATAATACTGCAGAAATAATTTCAGGAACAGGAACCAAGAGCGTTGCTTGCCTGCCTCCATTGGGGAGGGAGGCTGTCCGTGGGGCTGGAGCGCTGCTCTTGATGGAAAAGCTTCACCTGGAAGAATAACTAAAAAAAGCTGCAGCAAAAGATAGCAAACTACAGCACTTCTAAGACAAAATGTGCTTCAAGGCCATATCAGAACACCTGATTTTAGCAGGCACATATATGGGGGTAGAATTTGGCCTGTATTCCTTACACTTTAAGTTACTGTTAACAGTGGAGGGCAAGAAAGCCTCTTGAGTATAAAATCTTGAGATTAAAACTAATTCAACAGCTTGCTGGACAGAAGGACCCCAGTTCCATAGAACACAGTATAAGGGCAGTGACAGTAAATCTGCATACCAAAGAGACAACAGAGAAGCTTAAGTCCTGACCATTGACCTATGAAACCTTCTCTAAACAAAATAAAAAACAACCAAACAAACAAAAAACACCCTCCCCAACTTTCTTTCCAATTAAAAAATAAATTTTGTCACTTGTAAAAAAAAAAAATCACTTCATTGAGGCAGTGATTCGAGTTAAATAAACTCTAACGATTAAGGGTAACATTCTTCTTGGATTAAAACATTTCTTATGAGCCAATTAAACACTGATAGTTCTTCAGCAGTGATGTCAGTAAACATAAAATGAAGCTGCCGCCCTCCTCACCCATCACTGCAAACAAATCCCATTTCCAAGATGCACCTTTATTTAGGCCCATCAGTTTGTTGCTTCTTTACAGTTAAAGAAGATGAGGACCAATTTGGTATCCAAAGAAACAAGTTTTTAGGTGTTGGCTAGCAACATCAGTTAAGCCAGTAGCTTTAATTCCTGAGAGGAAACTGTTGTGTGACTCTAACTCGCCCCTTCCACTCCTGCCACAAGGGCTCAAAGCTTGAGCTGAGAAGAGAATCAGGACAAGCAAAGATAAGAGACAACTCCTCTTGTCAGAAATAAAGTGCTTAATATGGAAAGTGTTTAAAAACAGTCTTCCTATTTGAACATCATGTGAAAAAGTGTTATGGTGTTCTCAGCCTATCTCCAAAGAGATGGTTTTTCATCATAGCTGTTTTGATAAGGGAACTGTACATTTCAGTGGTAAAACATGGCACCCCACTTAACTCTAGACAAAGCTGCAGCTTTATTGCCGCATCTTGTATCAACTGTTCTGAAGTGTTTCAGGTGGCAGCTGATGGATTTTCACAAAATAAGTATGCATGCTCCAATAACGAACTTTGTTTAAGTGTTCAAGAATCCAACAGCAGATGGAAAAGCCAAAGTTTGAGTCTTTTAAATGAGCAAGTAATCATACTGAAAGTATTTGTCAGCTTGTCACCAGGAATTTTTGGAGTTGTTTACAGAAAGGGTAAGAAAGCATAAAAAAAAAGTGGAGCTCTTGGATTAATTTACTTTTCTGTTCTAGTGTGCACTCAATTTGTCCACTGGGGACTTGATCCAAAAGCAAAATCAAGTTTAGGACCGTCCCTGTAAGTTTAAGGACAAAAAGATGGATTTAATTTTTTTAGAATTTCAACTCTTTCCTCTGCACCTTATATCTGGAAGTTATATTGCCAAGCAGCATCAGTCACAATTTTAGTTGTCCTACAATCATGAAACTTGCATGAAAGAAACTTAATGACAAAATAAGTGTATTCCACGTTGCTTAAAAAATGTATAAAAAACATGTAACAATACACAATTCTGGAAAAAGTCGTTTTGTTGCTGCAGGGTCTGACGCCAGGAAAAAGGGCAACATACATAATATCCTGAAAGAACAAGGTAATTGAATAAACCCACCCTCTTTTACAATGGTGCAGATTACTTCATCCACGATGGTCTTGAAAATGAGTTTAACTCTATAGATAACTACGTTCTTCACAACAAAAGGAATGAAAATGAGAGGAAAGCATTATTGTTCACCAAACAGAAACCAAACAAAAACCAGCAGAAGGGCTAGCACGGAAAGAATGGTTAATCTCACATTTCTAAAAGGGTATTACAAACAAAGCATGGTGAACAACAAAAATAAAGGATTAAAAAAAAAAGAAGATATAAAAGTGCTTAATGGTGTTCTTTTAAATATTTACTTTGCTGCTATTTGGAGAATAATTTGTTCCATTTAGTAGCATTGGGCTCAAAGGACCGCTTTAATCCAGAGAGATTAATTATAGCCTTTGGAGTTATAAACACAATTTGGGAAGTGAAGCAGAGAAGAGGAGAGAGACTCCTCTCATGCTGGCGATTAACAAGTTTATGTGCTTTGGGGTTACATTACACAGGCTGTGATCCTGCTACACCTGTACACTGCAGGCAGAACACTGCACAGGGCACCCATGAATTGAGGAAAAAAAGCCCCCAAGATATCCAGGGAAGACACTACCCTACCCTACCCTACCGTGTCGTTATAGGCAACTAAGATACTTCTCAGGTGTCCTTCACCGAAACACAAGTTCACTTGCACATTATGAAGACATCACCTGATCTCATTTTATTACCTCCATCAGAAACGAGTCACCATGCTGAGACAAGCAAGAGGCACGAGACCCCATCCACACTGCCTTTAAACCTCTCAACGTGCTTTCACATAATTCTCCATCTGCTCATTGCTCTGTCCCACACCAGGAGACACAGGGACCAGCAACATCAGCAAGGAAAGGCTGGAAGCGATCTTACCTAGCAAGGGGTTGGCTGCTCCCTCCTCTGAGCTCTCCTCAGCCCCCTCCTCCCCCAAGCCAGAGGTGGCGGAGTCCTCTGGGGCGGATGCGGAGCCGGGGGTGCTGGGCCCGCTGACGGACCCCAAGTCACCTTCCTCGCTGCTGGAGCCGTAGCGGTCAGGCTGGGCAGCCGTCCCGCCCTCACTGCAGCTCCTCCGCTCCTTGCGGTGCACCCGCGAGTGCAGCACCATTTGGTGGTAGGTGCGGAAGATCTTCCCACACTCAAAGCACTCGGTGGACTTGTTCTGGGCAGCCCGCCGGCTCTGCCGCGAGGCAGGGCGGTAGTCCAGATCCCCCTGGGCGAGCAGGCAGCTCTCCCCCGGCGGGGCAGTGCTGGTTTTCTCTGGGCGCCCACTGGTGCAGCTCTTCTTCTTGGGGTTGCTGGGCGAGTCCTGGTCTCGCTTGCGCTTCTCCTGGTTGACAAGGATATACTCCCTCTTATCCTTGTCGTAAGTCACGTCCGCATCTGCCAGGGCCTCGTCCCATCCCACATACTTCACATACTCTGAGGGCTCCACTACTTTTCCTTTGGTGGCCAGCTGCCAAGCTTGGTAGCTACTGACCGGATCCAGCTCGGCTACTCTTTTCCCAGGCTGTCCTCTCGTAACTCTATCCAGCGCTACAGATGGCCGTAGATTGAGACACTGCAAGAAAAACTGCTTCGTTACCGAGGAGCTCAGGCTCCCATCAGCCAAGCCCTCAGCTTTATCCCCGGTGCCGCCCGGCTGCACCCGGTAGTGAACAACGTTATGCGCCTTCAGGCTTTCCATATTTGTAAACAGATTTCCACACTTGGTGCAAACTTCATACAGAGACAGGCCTGTAACAATTGTCTCCTCTTGTATCACATCATTGATAGTGGCTATTAGCTCCAAATCATTTTTTGGTTTGTTTTTGCTCCCAGACCTGGGGCCATGCGACTTCATGTGGTTTTTGAGAAACCAGGGCTCTTTGAATCTCCTGCCACAAATATGGCACCCGTGATCAAATGAGCCCCTGTGCTTTTTCATGTGAGCTTTCAGGAACCAGGTTTGACTAAAGGCCTGACCGCAGACTTCACATGGAAACTCGCCCGCACTCAGCTCGCTCTTGCAGTTCTCGGTGTAGGCCTCCCCATTGGGGACCTGAGCTGTTATATGGTCCTTCTCTATGTGGTTTAACAGCGTCTCCTCCCTCAGGGTCATATAGCTGCACAACCTGCACTTGAACGGTTTGTGGACCTGGTGCAGGTGCTGCTCCAGGTCCTTCTTCCTTTCAAATTTGTTTTTGCAGAAGGTGCACTGGTAAGAGGTCAGCCTGCCATCCTCCTCGGCTGGCGCCGTCTCTGTGACCTCCTTCTTGCTGCTTCTCAACAAGATCTTGCTGCTATCAACCTGAGCAGTACCATTCAAGATCTTGTTGCAGGCAGACGTACTTTTAGTGGGGCTGGTGCACCCGCCAAGGCCCTCTGAAACGCCCATCTCCCCCAGCTGCGCCTCTCCCATCTCCACCTCATGTCCCTGACTTAAAGTGCCTGTCCTGTGACTACGGATGTGAATCTTCAGGTTGCCCTTTTGGGAAGCTCTGTGATCGCAGTAAGGGCATTTGTAGGGCTTCTCACCCGTGTGCTTCCTCATGTGCTGTGACAGGGAGCTCTGAAAAGGGAAACTTTTACCGCAGATACAACAGCTGTGGCACATGGTCTTGTCAGCATCCATGTCGTTCTTGCTTAGCTTGCCAGGGCTGGAGGACCTCCGTAACTCCATTTCTGCCGCTCTGCTACGATCCATCTGTATTACTGCAACAACGGGTAAGCGGGGCAGGAGCCCGAAAGCATGTCTGGCAGCAGAGGAGGGCTGGACCACGTTTTCAATCATACGGTTCTGCAGAGAAGTGTTTTTACTGCTTCATTCTCAGGGTAATGTTTCTCCCTTCAGGTGCTCAAGAGAGTCCAAAGTGACAATTTCCCTCCCTGTGCTCTGCAAGAAGATGGCATGGATCACCTGAAACAAGAACAAAATCATACAAATGTACAGATTCTTAAATATATTCAAATATATTCATGTTTTTAATTCAACAGTTCCGTCACTCGCCCTGCACTCAGAAGCACACCATACGATAATTTACTGCACCAAAAAGCAGCAGCTTCTCCTTCTGCTGATATCCTAGACTTCAATGACAAGCGTAATTACTAAGTAAGTAAAATCCATAAAACAGGAAACATTCATTTCCATACACTGACATCACAGTGTCTTAAATGAAGTGCAACCTTCAAATATATTTTTTTGTTTTAAAACCAGGCAGAAGTGGCTAAAAATACATCTTATATGAGGAAAACATTTCTTGAAGGGGTTATTACCCTTTAAATCTGTGGCTTTACCATCATGTGTAATTTCATGTAAAATACTCACTTGCCAAAGATAAAAGGCTTTCCTAGAGACTTTAGCAAGTATCATATTCCTACTGGCAACTACATTACTTTGCGTCTAAGACGGCCCTGTTGTGCTTGATGTGGCATGCACAGAGCAGGCGCAGAGGCTGAGGATGCTCGGTACTTTGATTAGAGAGCAAACAAGAACTCAGAGCCTGACAAAGCACTCATGAAAACTAAAAGTTACTCCCTGAGGGACAATGAATGGGAAAAAAAACCCTTCAAGGGTAAAATTTAGCCTCAAATAATATGATAATGTGTGTAGGTATCAAATTACCTTAAAAGTCAGTGTTTTATGTCAACAGGACATACAGGAAATCACAGCGCCACCCACCTCAGTGAAACAGAATCTTAACCATAAACAAACAAACAAAACAAGAAACAACTGATTAACAGATTAATAGAAATGTAAATGTTCTTGTATCCTGTCATGATTAAATGGAAGAGTCAGTATCTGCCTCAGTGGAAGATGAAACACATTTGCAATTCTCCACCTTACATACGGCAAAAACCAATGGTCAAGATCCCCATAGATTGTTTCTTTTCCAATTATGGCAGTGTAAAACAATCTTCCCACCCCCAACCCCCCCTCATTAAGGGCTACAAACACCATATGACTAAGATCAAACACCACAGCACTCTCTAATGAAGAGAACTGATCTACTGCCACATTAAGAAAACATCAGCTTCTTAAAATGTAGATAAAAATACGAAGAGCATTAACAAGACCATCACTTAACATCTATGAGTCAACAAAGAGCTACAGATCTAAAACTGCAGATTTTAAGACTTGTCACTGTATTCACCTCTGAGTTTCTTCATTACGTAAATAGTCTAACTACATCACCAGCATGAGCTTAATAAAAAGCAAGGTAAGACTGTCACAATTATCATCTCGGTTACACACTAGAGAACAACTTCATTACATTTAAGTTAATTTAGCCTTCTTATTTGCTACAAGACCATTCGTTTCTGGGTTTGATTTTCTGCATATCTAGTATCCATTCAGCATGTTAAGAGTTATCAAACAACATCAACACAAACTACCTTTTCCTCAGAGAGCACTCAATAATATTTAAGGGATGATTTACAAAAGCAATTTCATTTCTTGAATTAAGCAATTTTTTATTATTGCTAAAAAAAAAAAGAATTTCACAAATTCAGAAGTCCATATGAGCAGGAAGTTTACAAACTAGAATACCTAAATTAATTTCTAAAATTACCTATTTAAAATCAAATTGAGGGACAGCCTCAGAAGAAATTTCCTGGCTCTATAAAGGATGTCAGCCATGAAGCTTGTACCAGGAGGTACAAACATGCCAAACAGCAAATACAAGTGAGGTTTACACTGCATATTGATGGATGAAACAAAGAAAAGGCATCTTATTTATCTGACCCATAATCTAACTCTGCCAAGTAACAACCCGTGTTGCCTTATAATCAAAGACTTAACCTAGAAATCATTAAATCATACAGCAGGTAACTTATGTTCATGTATACTATCATGTTAAATGCAAGCAACAGCTTCTTCCAAAATGATCCATATCATTTCAGGAAAAAAAAATAGAAAGCTTTGGGAACAGATTTTTTCAGATGTTTTATACAATGTTTTCTCCATTCTTAATATTCTACAGTTTACAACAGTGAGAATGCTGCTTTTATTAGCAGGCCAACTTTAAGACTAATGACATTTTTTTTATTTATTTTTAAATGTAGGTCCCATTTTAACTCAACTTTCTACAGCATTTCCTGTCTGAAAGTTCAAAAGAGCTCTAAGAGCCAAACTTAGACAAGAATGCTGTATGCAGCAGTTCAAGCACATATGAATCCAAAGCTTCAGTCCCTTTGTTTACTTGGCCACAGATTCCCTGGGCTTAGTCTTGACATATTTCACTTTAATTATTTATAGCACTTTCATTAATGAAACTTAGTTATGAAAATGAGGCTATGAAGAAAGCATTACTTATAAGAAGGGTATTAGCCACTCACAGGAGATCCCCCTAGTCCTATATTAAATTAGGCCTGAGGGGGGAAAAAAAAAAAGCTAAAAAATTAATGAATTGTTTTATTAGTCTAAAATGCTTAATGGAAGTGTTACTGTCTTCACCAAAATATTCTGAGAAAAATTGTTTTGTCTTTATTATTTATCTTGGCCAATGCACTGCAATTTATAACTCTGGAAGTTGAAATAAAGTGTTCCTAGATTTGAATTGTTTTAATTCATACACATTCAACACTCACAAAATTTCAAGTCTGATCTTCCATGGACAAAAATTCCACTGGGAATAAGGGTGTTCAACCAACCTGAGTCTGCTTTATGTAGTCTGTGGAGGTCTACCTTAGGCTTTGGTAAATCAACTGACAAACATACATGAACAAAACTCACAATTCCCCACTCATACCATTTGAGAGCCACTTGAAAGTAATTCTTCTAGAGGGACTTTTTGCAGAAGAGCAAAGCCATTGTTCATTGGAAAGCAGCAAATACAATAACAACTTTCCCAAAAGCTTCAATTCAGGAGACTGAACATAAAAATGAGGGAAAAAAACACTTGTAAAAAATCCTACCAATAGAAAATAACATTCTGGCTTAATAATTTTTATCTCAGTATTAATTACTAAACATCAAAGATGGCACAAGGGATGGAAGATGTCAACTGGTAAAAATCAAATTACACCAATTACTCTTCCACTGCGAGTAGAATCTTGCCACAGCTATTTTTGTTTCTTTCTGGCTGACCGTGATGATAAAAATAGTTGTATTTTGAAATTATTCCAAATTTGAAAGTATTCTGAAATAATTCTCTTTCAGCACACATGGAATGCAGCCACCTCCAGCTACTCTCAGCCTACCAAAAGAGTTTCACCTCTCAGCAGTTTCAGGTGTTAACCAGTGACCTTCCACTGCTTTGGTCCAAGCTCACCCTGCAGTTCCACAGCACTGGTTTGTCACACAGAATCCACAGTGGAGTTACATCCAGCCTGCAGACTTCTCACAGGCTGTCACAGCACAGAAATCCCCACTAGCAGAGAGGCAAGGCTTAAGAAAACTCAAGTGAATGTAAACTGTAAATTAATACGTAGTCTTTAAAAATACTATGTGTGTTTTAATGGCACTGCAGTCTACACCAAATGCCATACAACTTCTTGGGGGTGGGAGGTGTGATATTCTGTTGTAAGGGGTATATAAACTAGATTAAGTTTATTTTTTGAATCAAGAATCAGCAGTTCATGTAAGAAGCAGCTGGCCAGTATCCATGAGACATTTTCAGCCCCTTTAAAATACACTAAGGCACTTATCTTCACTGTTTACATGCAAGTTTGGAATATAAAGCAAGGCAGAAGAGAAACATGAACAAAGACCCAAAAACAGGAGGGGTCGTGTGCTGCGAAATGCCTTTGCACAGCCAAATATTTTAGTTATAATGCTTGTATATGCACCATTGCCTCACAGAGATTCTTTGCTTTGACCCACATGGGAATAAATACAAACTTTTTTTTATTCCCCCAGTTCCCCCAAAAGGGAAAACAAGATCTCCTACGTGCTTAAACCAAGCATTTGTCAGAACCTACTCTAATTTAAACATTTAGGCATCCAAACTTCTCTGGTTTCTAAAACTAATTTGGATAGAGCTCTTGGTTTGAGAGAAAACACATTTTTCCCAAGATCAGCCCTGGCTTCCCTGGTGAGATCTTGGTAGCCTGTCCCTCCTAGCAGCTCGGCAGGTATGCTGGTGCATGGCTGCATCGTCCTCCCAACTTTTCTAAGACCCTCACTTAGTCTTGACATGAAGTATGCGTAAAAGTAGAGCGAAACAGCACTTTATGTAACACAGGAGCACCCTGAAATACCTACTACTCTTCACGGCACCCTCACATTCTGAAAGAGGACTAGGTATGTGAGGACTGCCCACAGGGTGAGACAGACCCTCTTAAGGACCTTTTGTGCCTCTTGGAAAACAACTAATAAAAAGAGAAATTGAAAATAAACAACACAGGGAAATTGGGGGAAAGCAGAAAAAAATTATGTCAAAGACACCACACTGGAAAAATAATTTCAAATTCATTTCTTACATAAAAATATCCTGTGCAGTGAAGACAGAGGAAAACATACAAGAAAATTATTCCTGTTCCAACATACAGCAGACTATATTTTTTTTTTAATTTCTCTTCAATTAAACATGACTTTAAAAATCATGTTGCATAAGCTGTGTAAGTAATAAAGAAGAACACACACTCTGGGAAGCTACATAAACCTATTCAAAAAGCACAATGTATCTTTTAAAACAAACTGCTTTCAGTCTGAGTGTATTTCAAGTCCCATCTGAAAGATAAATGCACTGGAGAGATATTGCTCTTCTAATCTCCAAGAGGTTTGAACATACACTGCAACCACTCCACTGTGTTCCTCTGCAAAAAACAACAAGGACTTAAAAAAAAAAAAAAACAAACCACCACATCAAAAATGTGAGGCGTGATCTTTTGGAAAAATACCTTACTGAAAATTCCTTCTAGCTGATGAAATGATAGGACATAGCATGCAAATATCTAGCTGAATTTGAGGAAGTTGTA